AACGGCGCCCTGGCGCTCTCGAAGAGGCGCGTGCTGCATTTTCATTGAAAATGAGGCTCGCTCTAAAGCGGCTTGGGGGACCGCCAACACCGGCCCCCAACAACAACAACGCTCCCGTTCGAAATTTCCTCCTTTTTTACTCAGGGCCGGTGCTCCTGCTTGCCGCCGAAAGCAGCCGTCTCAACAAAACCAGCACCTCCGCTCGAGACTTCTTCCCGTTTTACCTTGCACAAGCGCGCTACTCTTTCTCTCATCGGCGCCGCCCCCCAGCAACAACAGCGCTCCCGCTCGAGACTTCCTCCCTTTTTAACTTGAGGCAGTGCTTTTGCTCGCCGCCGACAGCCCCCGCCCCGACAAAAGCAACGCTCCCGCCCGAGACTTCCTTACGTTTTACGCTGGACTGGCGCCCTTTTCTCCTCGTCCTCGTCCTCCTCCTCCTCCTCCTCCTCCTCCTCCTCCGCCGCCTCCTACTCCTCCTCCTCCTCCCCCTCCTCCTCCTCCCCTTCCTCCCTCCTACCCCCTCCCTCTTCCCCCCTTTTCCTTCCTCCACCCCGTCCTCTTCTCCCTCCTCCCTCCTCCGTCCCTCTTCCCTCCCTCCCCTTCCCCCCTTTTCTCCTCCCGTTCCTCCTCCTCCTCCTCCTCCTCGTCCTCGCTCCTTCTCCTCCTTTTCCTCCTCGTCCTCCTCCTCCTCCTTTTCCTCCTCCTCCTCCTCTCATTCTCCGCCTCCTCCACCTCCTCCTCGTCCTCCTCCCCCCTCCTTCCCCCTCTCTCTTCCTCCCCCTTCCTCCACCCCGTCCTCTTCTCCCTCCTCCCTCCTCCCTCTCCCGCCCCTCTTTCCTCCCTCCTCCTCCCTCCTCCCTCCACCTGTCCCTTTTCGTCCCCTTTGTCTCCTCATTCCTCCTGCTTCCCTCCTCCCTCCTCCCTTCTCCCTTCTCCTTCCGTCCTCCCTCGTCTCTCCCGCTGGATTTTCCCTCACCTTTTACTCGAGACTGTGGCCCTCGTTTCGGCACCGTTTCTGGGGGGCTTCCAAGAGTCCCTGTTAAATCTTACTTATTAGAACTTATCATATTTGGAGAGCACAGATAGTGTGGAGGAGGAAGAGAAGAAAGGGGACGGATGACTTCCAGGGACTCCAAAGATCGAGGGTCGAGGGATTGATTTCAGGGATTCCTTGAGAGGGCGTGGAGGGGCAGGTGGGGGATGCGAGCATGGGAGTGGCAGCGCCTAGGGGCGTGAACGTTCAGGGTCACGCGCCGAGGCCGCAGGATAGTGGCGTAAGAGTTCGAACGAGGAGTAAGAACCACCTCGTCCTCGAAGGTGCTGCTACTACTGCTACTACTACTACTACTTCTACTACTACTACTACTATTACTACTACTACTACTACTACTACTATTACTACTACTACTACTACTACGACTACTACTACTGCTACTACTATCACTACTGCTACTACTACTACTACTGCTACTACTACTACTACTACTATTATTACTACTACTACTGCTACTACTACTACTGCTGCTGCTGCTACTACTACTGCTACTACTACTACAACTACTACTACTACTACTACTATTACTACTACTACTACTACCACTACTACTACTACTACTACTACTACTACTACTACTACTACTACTACTACGACTACGACTACGACTACGACTACGACTACTACTACCACCCCTCTTTCCTCCCCCTCCTTCTCCTCCTCCTCCTCCATCCTCTTCCTCTTCCTCTCCCTCGTCTTCCCTCCTGTCCTCGCCCCCTCCCCCCTCCTCCGAGATGCGGGTCGCGCGCGAGGCGATTGCGGTGGCGATGTGCCGTCCGAGCTGTGGAGGTCGAAGTTCCTCGGGGGCGGCGGTGGCAATGCTTTCCTGGGCGGGAGATACTGGCGAGGCACGATGGTGCAATGATTGTTGTTGCTGCCGTGGTTGGTGTTGCTCTTGTTGTCGTGGTTGTCGTTGTTGTTGAACATTATTAATTCTAAAGAATAATTATTGTTGGGGCCCCTGGTGCACGGCCCCCCTGCGCCGCCTAGGCCGCAGCTACATTTTCATCATTTTCGTGAGGAAGCCTCAAGTAATTCGATGTGATCAAGATCCGGTTGTTTTGTTCCCCCCCGCTTTCCCTTGCAAAAAACACTATAAAATGACATTTCTTGTTCTAATATAATCAAATTTCAAGAATCCTTTGCAAAAAATAAGGTAAAGTGGACATTCGCGCGCGCAAGACGAAATCCTTCCAAAAGCTTAGTGTTCGGAGCGATTTTAACATAAAAACATCAAAAAACCAATGGTTTTTCAACAAAAAAATGTCAAAATCTCATCCCGCGCGCTCTTGCGGATTCGTAGGAAACCCAACACTTTTTAAACATTTCTGTCAAACGGGCTTTTGCGAGCAACTTTTTCGAACTTCTGCGACAACGGTTGCGCACCTGCCAGGGCCATCATCCCTGTCAAATAATACCATGCGGGACACATTCGTTTTTTCTTCGCGCGCGCACGCCGAAATCTCCAAAAACCATTGGGTTCTTAAGAATTTTAGCACCGCGCATCATAAAATCACACGAATCGCACCGTAGGTCCTCGAAAAACAGCTGCACGACTTTTCAAAATTTCCACCCGCGCGCGCTGTCCGAATCCTAAAAAAAAAACAATGGTTTCCCAACATTTATGTTACATGAGCTCGCGCGAGCTACTTTCGCACGCTCTTGCAACGGGGTTCGCGCGCCTGCCAGGGGCCATAATCCCTTGCGGTTGCGCCATAGGTTGCGCCCTCGGCCGCCGAGAATAAAACGCCCTCCTATTGGTTGCGCCATAGGTTGCGCCCTCGGCCGCCGAGAATAAAACGCTCCCTACTGGTTGCGCCATAGGTTGCCCCAGGAGGCCTTCAAGAGGCCCCAAGAGCCCGCCGTGAGGACCCAATAAGCCCAAGGGTAACAAAGGTATTTGTGTATCCCCACATCCGCCCAGGAATTCCACAAATGTGACCAACTATCTTGCGAGTACGTATCATCTCATGTGTGTCGTGCACACTATCAAATGTAACAGAGTTGTGTATTCCCATCATCCCAGGAACTTGACCCAAAAATGTGACCAACTCCGCTCTCTCTGTCTCTCTCTCTGTCTGCTCTCTGTCTCTCTCTCTGTCTCTCTGTATTATGTATTGTATGGCACAATTGCACCATGCTGGGCACATGCGCGCCCCGAATAAGTGACCAAGTTCTGTGGGTGTGTACCCCACGCCAGTGTAGTAGCCACGGTCGTCCGCACGCCACGAAGTGAAGTGTCCCAACGTCATAGGGCGGGAAGCTGGGTTTGGGTGGTCGCGAAGAGTCGTTTGGATATTTGGTAGAGCTTGTAATGCCCCCCCACGAAGTGGGGGTATTGCCTGGTGTCGTATGAAAACCCTGGCACTGGGGAGAACACCGCGCGTTCGGGTAAAATGATTGTTGTTGTTATTGTTGTTGTTGTTGTCGTTGTCGTCGTCGTCGTCGTCGTTTTTTTTTTTTTTTTTGGTTGTTGTTGCGTTGTTCGTTGTTTCTCTCCTTCTTCTTCTTTTTCTTCTTCTTCGTCTTCTTGTCCATCTTCTTCTGCTTCTTCCTCGAACCCGTGGGGGCGCAGTCAGTGGTGGGCGCTGCCCGAGGGCGCTGAGCCGACGCTTCAGCGGTGCCAGGCCCGCGCTGCGCGCGCTGAGAGCTTCTGCGGCGCTGTGGTTCTGGAGGTGTTTCCACCCCCCCTCTTCCCTCGCTCATCAATTCTGCCCTGGCGTGCAGCTGTTTCCCCCAGACCTACAGCGCCGCCCTCCAGGCGGAAACCAGCAACAATACCTCCACAATGCGCGCTTCTATCACAACAGAGTACGATGATGCATCATCTTCCTCTTCCTCTTTCTCTTCCTCCTTCTCTTCCTCTTCGTTTTCATCTGTCTCGGCCTTCCCCTCTCTCGCACTTTCGTCCATTGGCACTCATGATGAGCTCTTATCGACCTGCTGACTGAAGCTCGCTATGCGGTGCGATCGTACGATAACCATGTGATGTGATGAATGCCGTCAGCGGCAGCCTCTCGCGAGGAGCGCGCGCGCGCCCGTCATCTGGGCCCCCTCGGTGGAGACGTGCTCTCCCTCAGCTCTCGGCTCTCCCCTGCGCTGGTCGCGCGTAGGCGCCCTGGTCTCCAATGCGGCGTGCCGCGCTGGCTGCTCGCGTGGGCCGCCGCGTGAGGACGCGGTGCCACCTCGCGCAACGCCCGTTTTTGATCTTCGCTCACGAGGTGGCCGTTGTTTTGGATGTGGTGCTCTCCTCCTCCTCCTCCTCCTCCTCCTCCTCCTCCTCCTTCCCCTCCTCCTCCTCCTCCTCTTCTTCCTCCTCCTCGTCGTCGTCGTCGTCGTCGTCCTCCTCCTCCTCCTCCTCTTCCTCCTCCTCCTTTCGAGCGCGCTTGGCGCCTTTTTGGAGCGCGGCGTCCTCTAGCTAGTGCCTCCTCCTCCTCCTCCTCCTCCTCCTCCTCCTCCTCCTCCTCCTCCTCCTCCTCCTCCTCTCTCCTCCGAGGATCCCCCCGCCCCGTCAGGTACACCGAGGCGTGGCTCTGCCTGCTGCAGCAGGCGCGCCGCCGCCGCGCCGCCCGGCGGCCCCGCCCCTCGCGGGCGCTCTCGGCCCCGGTCGCCCCGAGGGCTCGGTTCGGTCCCGTGCGCTGCCGCGCCGTCGCTCTGCACGAACGAGACGGGTACGGAGAGAAGGGGTGCAATTTTAGGGGGCCACATGCGAGCCCTACCCCTGCCCCCCACGGTTTTTGAGGGGGAGGGTGGGGTTCGCTTCGCTCGTGACCTCCCAAACGAAGTGAACCCCACCCTCCCCCTCAAAAGTCGTGGGGGGTGGGGAGGGTTCGCATGTGGCCCCCTAACAATGCCCAACAGCAGTTCGTGCTCATTTTGAACAGGACTCGCTGTCCGCGCCGCCGCGGCCTGTGTCCATTCGAGACGGAAGGCCGCCTGCCCAACAGTGGCCGCTGTCGGTTTGGGACAACATTCGTTGTTGGGCACAGTTCCCATGTTTTCCGTGCCCATTTCAGGCGTCCAAAGTCACCGCGCCGCTGCCTCTTCCTCGGCCGCTCCCGGCAGATTCGGCTCTGGTCGGCCTCGGCTTCGCTGCTGGCTCGGCGCGTGGTCCGCCGTGCCGTCGCCGTGGACGGCGTCGGATCGACCGTGGTCGTCGACTGCGGGAGGAGGGATCCACGAACGATCGGTCGACCGAGGATCACGATGACGACGACGACGACGATGACGACGACGATGACCACGACGACGTTGACGACGACGACGACGACGACGGTGACGTCGACGATGACGACGTAGTCGCCGGATGGTCGGTCGGTCGTCGAGTCGCCGCGCGGCGGCCCGCGGCCCCTTCGCCGCGAGGCGACCGCCGAGGCAGTGCGCGAGGCCGCGGCCGCCGCCGAGCAGCAGCAGCTGGCGGCGAGGCCGCAGGCCGCAGCCGACTGCCGACGCCGCCGCCGCAGTCGTCGCCGACTCCGCCGCCGATTCCGCCGCCGCTGCCGCCGCCGCCGCCGCCGCCGCCGCCGCCGCCGCCGCCGTCGTCGTCGTCGTCGTCGTCGTCGTCGTCGTCGTCGTCGTCGTCGTCGTCGTCGTCGTCGTCGTCGTCGTCGTCGTCGTCGTCGGCGGTCCTCGGCGGCTTTTCAGCCTCGGTGTGCTCTCCGGCAGCTGCACCTCGCCGAGGGCGTGCCGCGTGTGTTCGGATCGTCCCGAGCGGCCGCCGGAGAGGCGAGGTACGAGTACGCCAGGGGCCGCCCGTGCGGGACACTGGGCGTTGCAATTTCTTCTCGCTGGGTTTTTTCGCAATGTTTCGATCGGTCGAAACACATTTTCTCACGCTGCGCGCGTTGTCGTCAGGTTTCGATCGGGCGTGTTCGTAATGTTCCACAGTGTTTTCGATCGGGCGTGTCCGCCATGATTCGCCATGCTTTCGCCATGTTTCACACTGGGCGTTTTCGCCATGGTTTTCGCCCTGGACCATCGTCGATCGATCTGGCACGGCGGCTGCCTTGTACTTTGCCGCCACGTTTGGTCTGCGCGCCGATCTCCTCGCTGCGTCAACCGTTTCGTCGATCGCGGCGACGGAGCGGTATGAGGAGTTCATCAGGCAACACGAGGGCACCGCGCGGCTTTGCGCGGCACAGTGCTTCCTCCCATGGTCGTGGAAACCCACGGTGGCGGGTGGGGCGGCGACGCACGCAGGGCCTTCGGGGCCCTAACCAAGCGGGTGGCTGACGCCACGGGGGAAGGCGCCGCAGTGGTTGGGGATCAACGCGCCCAGCCACTTTCCGTTTCCCTGCACAGGGCAAGCGCGCGGGCGGTGTTGCGGCGCCTCCAGACGCTGTCTGGAGAGGTGAGGGTGGCAGCGGCCCGTCTGGCCGCGGCCGCGGCTACTTCCACGGCGGACGCCGTGTGAAGCATCCCCAGCGCTGGCTAGCGCCCGCCGCCCTTGATGGGCAGTGCGGGCGCCCCCCGCGCCCGTCCGCCAACGTAGCGGTGGCGGCTCTTCGCCCCGTCCCCACGGGCGCCGTCCGGCCTTTCCGGCGGGGCGGTGGGTGATCCCGCAGAGGGCTCCCCACCAAACCGCAGCGTGCTGGGTTCGGTCGGCCACTTCGCGCCGCTTTTGGACGACCCCGACGGCTCTCCCCGACGACGGCTCACGGCCACCCCCCGACGCCCACCGCCCACTCGCTGCTCGATGTCGCCGCCATAGGGTCCGTAGCCTCGTCGCGGGTGGCCCTTGTTTCCCCGCCCCTGGCCAAGCCTGTCTGCTCGCGGTTGTTTCCCCTCTCCTCTTTTTCCTTGTTTCCTTCCGTTTTCATTCCTCCTCCTCCTCCCTGCCTGCTGTCTCCGCCTGGCCCGTTTTTCGCCTGCCCGCCCGCCCCGCCGGCCCTGGTTTCCCGCCTGCGCGTTCGTTTTCGTTTGCCTGCTTCCCCTATGTTTTCGTCCCCTTCCGCTGGGCAGCGCAGCCTGCCCGGGACCAGCGTGGCGGCGTGTAGGGCTGCAGAGGGCGGCAGACCCATGGCCGCATCAAGCCCTGCTTTTCAAGTTTTTTTGAATTCGTGTTGCAGGGGCCGGGGCGATCGATCTGGGTCGAAAAATGCAGGAGGAAGATGTGGTTCAGGGTTCGTGTCGCGTTTTTTGGCAGAGTCGGATTTCAGGCCTCCCCCCCACGTCCGGGCCCTGGCCCCGGGGTTTCCTTGCCACCGCCGCTGTTGCTGCCGCGCAGCCGCTGTCGTCGCGTCCGCCGCCGCGCCGTCGCCGCCGCCGCCGCCGCCGCCGTCGCGGCCGCCGCCGTCGCGTCCGCCGCCGCCGCCGCCGCCGCCGCCGTCGCCGCCGTCGTCGTCGTCGTCGTCGTCGTCGTCGTCGTCGTCGTCGTCGTCGTCGTCGTCGTCGTCGTCGTCGTCGTCGTCGTCGACGTCGACGTCGTTGTCTTTGTCGTTGTCGCTGCCGTTGTCGTCGTTGTCGTTGTCGTCGTCGGCGTCGGCGTCGTCGTCGTTGCCTTCGTCGCCGTCGTCGTTGTCGCCGTCGTCGTTGTCGTCGTTGTTGTCCTCGTCGATGTTGTCGTCGTCGTTGTCGTTATCGTTTTTGTCGTTATCATCGTTGTCGTCGTCGTCGTCGCCGCCGCCGCCGCCGCCGCTGTCGCTGTCGTCGTCGTCGTTGCCTTCGTCGTCGTCGTTGTTCCTGCCGCTGCATCCCCAGTCATCCAGCGCTCCGGAAGAGTCGAAGCGGGCGGCTCGTGGTCATTTATGGGCCTTGGAGGCCAGCTTCGGGCTTCGGGGACGTCACAAAACTTCGTGGGGTGAAAAGACAGCCCGGGGGAACGAGGGTTTGAAGGTCCAGAGGCCGTCGTATCGAACAATTCGAAGGGCCAAATGCCAGGGTCGCTGTCTTCGCCGCCGTTGTCAGCGTCCGCCGCCGCCGCGGCAGCATTCGTCGGCGTTCGTTGGCAGCCCCGTGCGTGGTCGTCGGCCGCATTCGTCGGCGTTCGTCGTCGTCGGCGTCCGTCGTCGGCGTCTTCATAGTCGTCGGTTGCCGCCGCCGCCGTCGCCGTGGTCGTCGTCGTCGTCGTCATCTTCGTCGTCGTGGTCGTCGCTCGCGCGGGATCGCCCGCGGAGGCGGAGGAGCTTCGAGGCTCGAGTGGCGAAAATCGATGATCGAGTTTCCATCACCATGTGAGGAGAAAGAGGAGGAGAAGAAGGAGGTGGTGGAGTAGGAGGCGGAACTTTACGGTTCGACTGTATCGAGGCTAAATTTTAGTGATGGTGATGCTGATGATGCTGTTGATGATGACGATGATACAATGATTTTGTTTTTGATGACGGTGATGCTGATGCTGCTGCTGCTGATGATGATGATGATTATGATGATGATGATGATGATGATGATGATGATGATGATGATGATGATGATGATGATGATGATGCTGATGATGATGATGATGATGATGATGATGATGATGATGACAGCGACGACGGTTATGATGATGAAGTTGATGAAGATGACGGTAACGGTGACTATGATCATGATGATGATGCTGCTGCTGCTGCTGCTGATGATGATGATGATGATGATGCTGGTGCTGATGATGATGGTGATGATGGTGACGATGATGGTTATCGCTCTCTCGCGTGGGATGCCAGCCGCGTCCCATTTCTGCCATGCATTTTGCAACGTCGACGTTGAAACGTCCATGTTTGGGGTAGAACGCGTTGGCCACATATTGTTTCTCCTCATGTAGGGCGGGAGGGTCCATATGGGACTCGATCGGCCGGCTAAATGGCACAACAGGCGTAAGCATGAACAAGGAATAGGGATGGTAGGACAGGTTGGAGGAGGAAACAGGGGAAGAGTACGAGGAGGAGGAGGAACAGGACGAAGAGGATGAGGACGAGGGAAAGGATAAGGAGGACGTGGATGAGAAGGAGGAGGAGGAGGAGGAGGAGGAGGAAGAGGAGGAGGAGGAGGAGGCGGAGGGGTGCCAGGGCCAGGGGAGAAGGGGGAGCAGGAGGAGGGGGGGAGAAGAAGGTGTCCCCCCCTCCCCCCCTGCACGTCGCCGCCCTCGCCGCGCCCTCGCCGCTGCTCTTGCCGCGGCCCCCACTGGCCGCCGCCCTTGCCGCAACGCGTCGTCGTCGTCGTCTTCCTCGTTGTCGTCCTCGTCCTCGTCGTCCCCGTCGTCCTCGTCATCCCCGTCCTCGTCCTCGTCGTCCTCGTCGTCGTCGTCGTCCTCGTCCTCGTTGTCGTCGTCGTCGTCGTCCTCGTCGTCGTCGTCGTCCTCGTCGTCGTCGTGGTCGTCGTCGTCGTCGCCGCCCGCTCCGACCGCCCAGGCGGACGGCCCGCCGAGGCCGCGGCCGCCCTGGGTGCCCCGCCGCCGCCCCCGGGCGGTGGGGGGAGGGGGGGCCGGAGGGGGGGTAGTGGCGGGCGGGCGGGGGAGGCGGAAAGAGTAAATATGCTCTGGACGCCCGAAATGGGTACCGAAAGAATGGGTACAATGCCCAACAACAATTCCTGTTCATTCTGAACAGGATTCGCTGTCCACGCCGCCGCGGCCTGTGTCCATTCGAGACAGGAGGCCGCCTGCCCAACAGCGGCCGCTGTTGGTTTGGGACAACATTTGTTGTTGGGCATCGTACCCATTTTTTCGGTACCCATGTCGGGCGCCCAGATATGCTCCTCTCCGCCTCATCTTCTAGTTGCCTCTCCTGCCGCCTGCCTTGCCTCACCTTGACATGTATTTTACTGCAGGGCTTTCCTGCAGCTGTTTGATTATCAAGCGTGAAAAGGAGCGTGCTGCCGCGCGCTCGCGTCCGGGCGTCGGCCGGCCGGCGGGCGGGGGAGGCGGAAAGGGAGGGGGGGGAGGGAGGGGAGGGGGAGGACCAGGAGGAGGAGGAAGAGGAGGAGGAGGAGGAGGAGAGGAGAGGACCAGGGGGAGGGGGAGGAACAGGAAGAGGGGGAGGGGAAGGGGAGGAGGAGGAGGAGGAGGAGGAGGAGGAGGAGGAGGAGGAGGAGGAGGAGGAGGAGGAGGAGGACCAGTGTAAACCCAAGACTCATCAACGATGAGAAAATGCACCCCCTCCAAGTTCTCCATTCACAGACTCCTACAAGGGGGTCGTTTATTCTGAGGGGAACGGCCTGCTTGAGTACAACTAGTTGAAAATCCTGAACCGTGCCAGAACATCATTCCTGGGTCGTCAACGCCGCGAATCGCCATTACCGTTGCTTTCGGACGATCTTGAATCGTGTCAGATCACCATTTTTGGGATTTCAAAACCACGGATCAACGGAACTGTTGCGCCCTGTCAGTTCGACATCGTGCCAACACACCGCCTTGGGATGTTAACCATGAGAATCTTTGAAACGGCTGTGTACTCGTAAAACGATTGTTCGCGTAGCTAAGGCGAGAACCGCACTTTGGTGACCCCCCCGCCCTACATCGGTGAAGCTCTTGCGAGCTTTTGCGTTAAGTGTGCGCGGCGCTGAGGCGAGAGCCAAATGTTGAAAACCACCCACCCTCCATCCGAGAAGCTCGTGCAAAGACGAATGTGTGCGTCGTTGAGACGAGTGCTACATTTTGCAAACCACCAGGGTCAGTCGTCTGGAAGGGGTGCGCAGGTTGGCGACAGTTCGGGGGGTGGGTGGGCCAACCTCCGCGGGTGGTCCTAGGGTGGCGGGCCGCGGCGCGGCTGAGGATTAGGATAATCTCGCCCCTGCTGATGCTCCTGCCACTTTTGCTCCTCTCCCAACTTTCTCCATTCCCAGCTCCACGTGCGTGGCCGTTTCGGCTCACGGCGGTTTCGTCGCGTACGTTGTCATGCTGTGTGGGTGCTTTTTTCACACCATCCGACGATTGTGTGCTGTTTGTTGGCGAGATTTCGTATACACTTTTCGTCGACTCGCAATCTTGTGTCGAGTAGTGCCAGGTATCATACCGTCAGCTTCGCTGCTCCCGATGCATATGTGACGAATCCGTGGTGTGCACGGCGGTGGCCCATCCGTCGGCCATCGCCGTCTGTGGCGACCGCCAGCGCCGAGATCTCGGTGCCGACGCACCTTTGGGACCCCCCCCTTCCACCGTAGGCCGTCGTCCCGTCGGATGCCCTTGGGGCTAATCCTTGCTCTCTTCGTCTCAGTTCCCTCTTCGTCCCCCTCCTCCGTCCTCCCGTCTCCGTCCCTCCCGTCGCCCGTCCTTTTTCCGCCGCGCGTCTTGTTGGTGTCTCCGCCCTCTGAGGACCGCGCCGCGGCAGCGCCCGCTTTGCGCGCGCGCGCCGCAGGCGCCCGCGGCTCCGCCCGAAGAGCACCCGCTGGCGTCGCTCGGCAGCAACGCGACAGGCGCGCCGGCGCTTCGGTTTTTCATCGTACCGTCCAGCGTCGTTCTTTTTCTTTCTCCTCCATCCTTTCCCATCTCCCCCTCATCCTCATGCTCTTCCTCCTCCCCCCCTCTTTTCCACCTCCTCCTCCTCCTCCTCCTCCTCCTCCCCCTCTTTCTCAGTGCAACAACGCGTGGACAGGCGGACCACGTCTGTGCCCCCCCCGACCCAGCCGCGACGATTGTGGTCGTGACCTGTAACACGGGGCACCAAACCTTCCTTCGACGCCCGAGTGGCGCGTTGGCCATGGACACCGAGACTCGCGAGGCAGAGTGAGGTTCTTGAGCTGGCGTGTGGACGCCGGCCCACCACTTACACGTGACAGCTGCAAAAGTTGGGGCGGCCATGGCTACTCCAGATTTCGTAATAAAGGGGAGGGGGTCTCAACCCTCCCAGACGAGAAGTTTTAGACCCTCCCAGACCATCCACGAAAGGGCGGCCCTTGGCCCAGACCCCCCCGAACCTCCTAAGACAGCTCAAATCAGACCCCCCCCGAAATGAGACCCCCCTCCCTTTACTATGAAATGTGGGGTAGATGGGGTGCGACAGTGCACCAGCTCGAGAGCCGCAGCGCGTCCACTCGCAGCACCATGCTGGCCTTCCCGGCCCCAGAGGCGACCGACCCAAGATTTTTTCCGAGGACGATGGTGCTGGCACTCGCCACCTCACGCACCACTTGGCCGTGGGGGGGGCCCGAGCCGCTTGTGGCAGGAGCTTCGGGAACATCACGGCCACTCCCGCAAGGGCTCTACCCAGATCAGGGGATCGCAATCATGGATCCAGGGGGCGTGGATTAGCGACGGGCAGCGTTTCCGTGGCTAATCGCGGATTTCCACCGCTGAAAGAGGCGGCACCGGCCGCATTTTGGGGAGGGCACCTCCCGCGATCCATGGATTTGGCGACCGCGCGCCAAATCCATGGATCGCTAATCCATGTTTGCGCGCCCCCGATCAGAGCCCTCCAGCGCCATCCCCCCCTCCGTTGCGTGCTGCCTCCCGTCTCTCCTGCCTCTCCCCCCCGCGGCCGCTGCTTCTTTCGCCCGCTCCGTCCTCTTCTCCCGGGCTCCCTCCGTCCCTCCGTCCCTCCGTGTGTGTGTGTGTGTGTGTTTGTATGAGAAGGAAAAGAAACACACAGACACAATTAATCGTCGATTCCCCAGAAAATATAGGAAAATATGGGAAGTGGGGGGAAGACAAAAACCAAGAAAATATAGGAAAATATAGGGAATCCTGTTATTTGTGTGTATTTATTTGTGTGTCCTAGGGCCGCTTCATTGTAGGGGGCCACATGCGAACCCTACCCCTACCCCCCACGACTTCTGAGGGGGAGGGTGGGGCTCGTGGCCCCCTAGTTTGTGTATGTGTGTGTGTGTGTGTGCTACCCCTACCCCCCACGATTTCTGAGGGGGAGGGTGGGGTTCGTGGCCCCATAGTCTGTGTGTGTGTGTTTGTGTGTGTCTGTGCGTGTGTGTGTGTGTGTGTGTGTGTGTGTGTGTGTGTGTGTGTGTGTGTGAGAGATTGTGTGTGTGTGTGTGTGCGTGTGGGGCGGCCTGCTTCGCGTGCGGCTTGGCTGGCCCGATCTCTCCACCTCCCCGTCCTCTGCCGCCGCCGCTCCTGGCTGTCGCCGTGCCCCTCCTGTCTCCTCTGCGTTTCCGACTTTCAGCTTCCGCACGCGAGGGGCTCTCGACCCTGTGGTGCAATCGGGGAGTCCCCAAGCTGACTGCTGGGTTTCCCCAGACTTGGAACCACGGCGGGAGCAGCACATCTTCCACACGCCCTGCGGCCACCGCTCTCTCGAGGGACTCGAGGGTTGGCCATGCGCAAATGACGAGCAAACGAGCATCATCCTTCCCAACCATCCTGCGGTGGTGGGTCCTCGTTTTGAAGAGAGAAGAAACAGCGCCCCGCGTTCACTCCTCCTCCTCGCCCCTCCTCTCCATCATCATCATCATCATCATCATCATCATCATCATCATCATCATCATCATCAGCATCATCCCTCTTTTTCCTCCCTCTTCCCTTCTTCGCCCCCCCCCTTGTTGACCGAAGGGTTTCCACAACGGGGGGGGGAACGCACGGTCTGACGGCTCTTGGCCGAGCTCCGGCCGCCACGTTCGGCCGCAGACGCCTCCAACGCGCGGGTGCGTTGGTGGTTCGCCGCAGGCTTATTCTATCCGCCGCCTCCTGTTGGCTTTCCACTGGGGTCTACGAGGACGACGACGACGACGGACGACGACGGACGACGGCGTACGACGAGGACGACAAGGGACGACGACGGACGACGACTGACGACGAGGACGAGGGACGACGACGATGACGACGACGGACGACGACGGACGACGACGACGGACGACGAGGACGACGGCGTACGACGACGACGAGTGACGACGACGGACGACGACTGACGACGAGGGCGACGACGGACGACAACGACGGGCGACGACGACGGACGACGACGGACGACGACGGACGACGACGGACGACGACGACGACGACGACGGACGACGACGGAGGACGACGACGGACGACGATGTCGACGACGGTCGACGGACGACGAGGGACGACGACGACGACGGACGAGGGACGACGACGGTCGACGACGGACGACGACGGACGACGACGGACGACGACGACGACGACGACGACGACGACGAGGGACGACGACGACGACGACGGACGACGACGGACGACGACGACGAGGACGAGTACGTACGACGACGACGACGAGGGACGACGACGGAGGACGACGGACGACGAGGACGACGACGGACGACGACGGACGACGACGACGGACGACGACGGATGACGACGACGACGACGACGGACGACGACGGAGGACGACGACGGACGACGATGTCGACGACGGTCGACGGACGACGAGGGAAGACGACGACGACGGACGACGACGACGACGGATGACGACGACGCCGACGACGAGGACGACGACGTACGACGACGACGACGGACGACGACGACGGACGACGACGATGACGGACGACGACGACGACGACGACGGTGGACAACGACGACGACGACGACGGACGACGCCGGACGACGACGACGACGACGGACGACGACGACGACGACGACGGACGACGACGACGACGACGACGGACGACGACGGACGACGACGACGATGACGACGACGCGGACGGACGACGACGACGACGACGACGACGACGACGCGACGGACGACGACGACGGACGACGGACGGAAACGGACGACGACGACGACGACGACGGTGACGGACGACGGACGACGACGACGACGACGACGACGACGACGACGACGACGACGACGACGGACGACGAGGACGACGACGGACGACGAGGACGACACGGACGACGACGACGACGGACGACGACGGACGACGACGACGGACGACGACGCACGACGACGACAGCCGACGAGGACGACGACGGTGGACGACGGACGACGACGGACGACGGACGACGACGACGGATGACGACGACGGACGACGACGGACGACGACGGACGACGACGACGTCGACGACGACGACACGACGACGACGGTGGACGACGACGACGACGACGGACGAAGACGACGACGAGGGACGACGA